ACCGCAACTACGACGCGTTGCTGCAGGAGCGGGCGGTAGAGCGGGCCGCGATGGAGGCGAAATCGAAGGCACAGCAGCAGGAGGTAAGGCGGCTTCACGAGGACCTCGTTGCTCTGCAGAAAAAGCGTGACGCGGATGCCGCAGAGCTGGCGGAGCGCAGGCTGGAGTTGCAGGCGGAGGTGACGCGCAACGACGAGGCGGAGCAGCTGCTGCGCAAGGCAGACACCGCGATCACAACGATGGCTGCGAGGCTGGCGGAGCAGCAGAAGGAGCGAGCCGAGGTGAGTGTGCAGTGCGAGGGACTCGAGTCGGAGCCACGTGACACAAACCACCGGCTGCAGCATGCCAACCCAGCTGTGAGCAAACAGCCGCAGCCGCAACACCAGCGGCCTTTTACTAGCGACCTCGCCGCGTTGCGGTCGTCGTTTCCGCGCGACGAAGACGGGGCTGGCTTGTGCGCCGCGCCCGAAGTGCTTGCGTCCTCACCAAACTGGGACTCCTCTGCGCTACTGGCGCGGGGCGCTTGGCTGCAGCCCGTGGCGGCGCAAAGCTCTCACCGAGATGTCTCCGTGGGGCCCGTCGGTCGCCTCGACGCGTCGCTGGACACGCGCCTGCAGACGCTGGTGGCAGAGGTGGAGTCCGCAGTGGAAGCGATGCTCTCCGCCAGAGACCACGCGCTTCGGTGGTCATGGAGAGAAGAGGAACAACCACATCAGCGGCGGCAACGCCCGAACTCTGTCTCACCGCTTACAGAAAAAACGTTTAGTGAGGGAAATCGCCTTCTTGCCGCGAGGTGCGTCGTGAAACTGATGGAGGCCGTGAGACTGTTGGATGGCGTCCTGCAGACCGTGCACCCAGCCTCCTTTCGAGCTGCCAGCACTGCAGGGAGGGGCCACGAGGACGGCGACGGACCTGTAGAGCGCCTGCAAAGGCAGCAACAGACGTTGCGTCTTCTGATGCAGGAGATGCAGGAGGCGAAGATTCCAGGACGCCGTTGTGCGTCCGCTGCGGCTGCCTTTCTCTGTGACCCTCTCATTGAACCACTGGCGAAGGCCGTGGTGGAGCGGCTGGGTGTGGTGCTGGAACACCTTCAGCGCGGGGAGCTGTTCTGCAGGAGTCATGCCTCTGGCACCGCTGACATTGACGCAGTGATGGTGGAGGGTGACGACATCGCAGTCTTCGCATCGTCCCCGCCGCGGCCTCCACTGCCAGCAGTTGATGAGGACACTGAAGCTGCAGCGGCGGCAGCAGCAGCCGACGTGAATGCCACGCGCCAACTCCACTTGGATGGAGGGGGCGTTGGAACAACCCCGCGTCACACCTTTGGCTTTATGGGTGGACGCTTGCTGGTGTCAAATAACGGCACACGTCTGCAGCGCATGGTGCTGCCAGGTGTGGTGGACACCATGACGAGCTCCGCGCTTGGGGCAGTGGACCACCGAAGCTTTCTCTCCCTGCAGCACTCTGCCGTTCCGCCGTGCTTTGAGTACACCATACGAGTTGGTATGTACTGCGATGGTCTGCTGATGGGGTTTGCGGACCGCTACCTGCAGCTGGAGGGGTTTGGCCCGGCACGCAACTCGTTGCGGTACGCAAACTGCTACTACCTGCACTTGGGCCGAGGTACGTTGTTTTGTCCGGCGCAGGGGATAGTGGACATGCCGTACCGTACATTTCAGCGCGCCGCTCCTGCTACTGTTATGGAGGGGCTGACGGGCAGCGGCGACAGGGACGTGAGCACCATTTCTACGTTTGCTGCTGTGCGTGTTGGCGAGGAGGTCAACTGCTCGCTTGACACCGTGACGCATACAATACGGTTTCGACGCGACGGTGTTGACTGTGGTGTCGCCTTCGCGCGCGTCAGCCTCACGAGAGCCCTCTTCCCTGCGTTCGAGGTGAACTCCCGGGGCTGCACGATAGAGTTTGTGTGAGGGGTAGCAGGGCTCTGGGTGGGGGGTAAAAATGCGCTGCCCGAGCGTCACTTCTCCGCTCTTGCGACTGCTTTTTCTTATCACTGCGTTTGTGCGACTTGTCTTGGCACGGCAGGGGACCTCTACAGAGTGAGCTGAGGAGACTGCATGACAGAGAGCGGCACTGAAATTGCGTCCGTTTGTGTGCGTGCAGTTCTGTAGCTTTGCCTCTTCGCCATGCATTCATCTGCATGCATGTGCGTCTATGTACTGCAAAGGCACACCATTCACATGCAAGTGGGCGTGCGTGTGTGCGTGCCTTTTCTCTTTGTTTCCTGCGTCCTCGCATTGTCTCACCTGCAGCTTCTGCATGTCTCTCGCTCCGTCACTGCATGTGTTCCGGCACACCTCTTAAGTGGCGGCGAGGCAGCAACCCTAAGGGGAGCAGCGAACAAACACAGAGAGAGAAAGAGAAAGAGACCGAGGGAAGCATACACTACAGGACACATTTGTTTACGTACTGAACGTGTGTGCGTCAGCGATGCTGGGGGCATTGGACCACAACGCCACAGATACCCTTCAGAGCTTTCAGGATGCACTACAGCGGGCGCAGCAGGCCCTGCAGCACGAGGAGTTGCGCCTAGCTCAACTCACACAGACGGTTCGTCAGCAGCATGAGAGTAACTGTGCTAGACGCGAAGTGATCCGCAGCCAACAACAGCAGCACCTGGAGGCAATTCGACGGGAGATCATGCGGGTCCGCTCTCACGTGGAGCGGCAGAAGGAGGAGGTGGAGGCGCAGCAGCAGCACGTTGAAGCGGTTCGGCGTCCGCGGCACGATGCGGAGGCGGAGAGCCGTGCTCACAAGGAGTCTCTACAGCAGCTGCAGCGGCAGTACCTCGTCGATTCTGTGGCTGTGCACGCCGAGTTGATGCAGTGGTGGCAGCCACAGAACAGCCTAACGTCTCTGGAGGCACAAGCGGCGCGCAAGGCGGAGGAGGTGGCGGCCCTGCAGGGTGCTGTGCAGGCGCTGCAAGGGCAGTTGCGTGAGCACACAGGGGAGCATGCACCGAGGACAGAAGCATCTCTGCAGAGGCAGCTGAAGGACACGGGGGACGAGACGACGGAGGTGACACTCGATACAGACAGCGGTGATGCTGTGAGGAACGCATCGGCGTGCCTGGAGCAACAATTTATGCAGCAGCGGGAGGAACGGGATACGTTTGCGCGCCACTCTACCGACACACTGACGCTGCGGCGTGGGGAGGTGGAGCAGCTGAAGACGCGCCTCAAGCAACTCTGCGCTGACGTGGAGGCGGCGGATGCGGCGCAGCAGACGGCCCAGCAGGAGTTTCACTCTGCCCTGAATCTTCAGAGCGACGCCCGTCTGCGCTGCGGCATGTGTGGGAAGGAGGTCGTGGACTCCTTCGTGTCATAAGCGATTGCAGGAGACCACAACGCAGGGATCATTTTTTTTTTTTTCGGTCTCTCTCTATTGTGTGTGTGCCTTCGCGCCTCAGAGGCGTGTTAGCATCCGTCCAACAGAACAAATAACTTTATTTATTTTGTTTGGCTTATTTATGTTTTGTTTTGTTTTTTGTTTTGTTTGTTTGGCGGCGTGGGGGCAAATACGGAGTTGTGTTGTAGGGCTGGTGGCCCAGCGTGGCGGGGGAGGCGGGCAGACGCCGAGAGCTCTGCACGCATGCAGCTTCGATCTCGTTTTTGTTTTTGTTTTTGTTTTTGTGTGTGGTTGTTTGTTGGCGCCGCGCAGTGAGTTTACGTCTCTGCGCCGGCACACACGCGTCCCCACGGCAGGAGGTACGAAAAAGCGAAAGCAAAACCAAAGAAGCAACACGCAGGCAGCGAGCGAAGAAGGAAGGAAGGAGGCGGACGTAGTGTATATACATAATATACATACGCATACATATATTTCTTCTCACGCAGTGTTCCTGAGAAATACACGCGGTGGTTATGTTCTTCCATCCCAGTGCGTGGACGCCAACGTGCGACTTCGGCGGCTCCCAGTTCATCGCGCTCGGCCTGCCGTACAAGCAGCCCATGGGGTACCCGCCGCCGTCCGCGGAGATGCAGGTGGTGACGGCGCCGTACCCTGTCAACCCCCCAACCCCGCCATCCTTCACGCGCAGCTGCAGTACGGCCAGCCATCCCTGCAGTCTCTCCGCCTCACACGCCAACGCTACTGCCAGAAACAAGGGCAGCTGTAGAGGCTCCCGACGAAAGAGCAGCAGCAGTAACCAGGGGAGCTGTGAGGCCTCGCCCGGTCAGGCATCGGGCAGCGGATGGGGGCTCAGCATGCAGTCATCCATGAGCTCCCCCGCCTCCTCGATGGGGACTCCGCCCGTTTACTTTGTTCTGCAGACCACCACGTCGCAGAATCCGCAGCTGGCGGCACCGCCTGCCAATATTATGGCTCTGCCACCACAAGCACATTCTCCCCCATCACGCGTGCTGCCGCAGGAGAATGGCGCCAGTTATAAACTTGGCGAGTGGTACGAAGGAGTGGTGAAGCGCTACAATCCGATGCGCAGCTTTGGGTTTCTCACAGCCACGCACCACCTCAAGATCATCTCACCCCTGATGCCACCTCTGCCTCCGCCGCAGGAACAGCAGACATCCACGATGACAAAAGCAGACCCACCGTCATCGCCAACGACGGCAGCAGCAGGTCTCACGCAGCCGATGGAGTTGTACGCGAGGAATGCCACACACGAGGAGCTGCAGGCCCATGTGGTGCGTACGCCAGTGGTGATTGGGGACATTTTTGTGCACCAGTCCTACATTCAAATGCAAGGCTTCCGTGCACTTTCCATTGGGGACAAGGTTGTCTTCCGTGTTGGTGTTCTTCCGGGAAAGACGGCCCATCAAGCCGTCTCCGTGCATCTGACGATCGACTCTGAGAAGAGGGAGACTGTGACGGATCCGGCTCTTCAATCTGTTGCTGAGTCACTGGTGGCCACGGAGGAAAAGTCTACTGTTCAACAGCCGGCTGAGGCTTCAGCCCACACTTGTAAGTCTCTGGAGCGGCTGCTGCAACACGTGGCGATGAAGCAAGAGGGTTGCGAGGGGGAGCCGAGAGACGACTTGGCCAGACCCTTTTTTGCTCTGGAGCCGGAGGTCGCCAGGGAGGAGTGCGTGGAAGGGTGTAGCCTGCCCACACCCATGTTCGTCCGCAACTTTGCCCCCATTGGGTGTAACGCCGCTATGGATGAGCAGGAGCCCGTGCCTTGCACCAGTGAGCCGATCGTATTACCAGGGAATGATGAGGTGTGGGATTTTCTTGCCAACTTTGGTGGCAACTAGGCGCAAGTAAACGCAGAGAATTTAACCAAACAAAAAACGGAGTGACAGTAGGAGTATCTTGCACTCTTCCTTGCATCCTCTCTACACATGTTTTGACTTATACACATACATATGTATACATATATCTGTATATTCATATGCCGATATGGATGTACGCACAAGCAGGGAGACCTGCACGTGCACTCAGCTTTCCTCTCCTTATTTTTACGTTTTTCCCTCACCCATTATTTTCGTTTTTGCTTCTGCTTACTTTTTTTTTTTTTTTGTAGTTTTCGTTTTGCTTGGCCTTGGGGTTTTTATGACCTCCCATTGTGCGAGTGTGTGTGTGGAGAGAGAGAAAGAGAAATAGAGAGGGGGATAGGTATAGAAAGAGAGAGAGAGAGTTGTGTGACGAATGCGGGCATATAAACCGATCCTTACTGTTATTCTTATTATTTTCACGGTTCAATTCCCAAATAGTCTATGACGTGTGTACGTGCGTTTTTTTTTTTTTGCCTGCACGTGCACCCCTTTCACATCCTCTTTTCCCACGCGTTGGCTGCATTGTGCCACCGCCGCCGCCTCCCTTTGCCTGCGGTACTTGGTGCATTGCCGCTACTGGGAGAATACAACCTGGGAGGAGTGCAACAGGGGGGAGAGCCACGGGCTACGCAGGGCGGCACACGCGCAACGTATGCATGTCTGTAAGCTGCCGGATTCGCCCTGCCGCCCACCCTCACCCTCTCTCTCCCTTTCCCTTTGGAACGGGGCGAAGGAGGGAGCAAAGCAAGGCAAACGAAAAAACAACAAGAACAAGAACAATGACGCAGAAAAGTGAACAGGAATACTCTCTTTAAATTCCTCTTCTTCTTTTCCTTCCACACTTCTCTTTTTTTTTTAATTCCTTTCTCCTCCCTCCTTTGTTTTGTTCTTGTCTACCGTTGTTTTTCTTGTCATTTGTGTTGTCTTCCGGGAGACGCGGTGAAAGTCATGCCGAGAAGAAACGAAAAGAAAAGAATACGTAAGTCACTCAACGGAAATGAAATAAATTTTCCTTGCCTCACTTTCCCTGCAACCACGCACATGCACTTACATGCCTGCACACACGCCCACACATGCACGCTCTGTGTGGGCGAGTGGGTGAGTGTGGGAGGGCACAAAAAAGATCGAGCCGCGTGGAGGTGCATGTGCGCACCCACCAATATGCGTGTGTCTTTACCTACAACTTATATATCTATTTATCTGTTTATCTGTTTATCTATATCTATCTATATATTTCATTATATATACATATGTGTCTTGTATGTGTGCTCGCGTCTTTGTATCTTAGTCTAAGAATATATATAAGTTTAACAAATATGCTTTCATGCCTCTCTGTATTTTGTGTGCTTTTACTTTGTGCCAAGCTGCAGGGCCACGTATATATATATATATAATATACATATATACATATATATATATATACAGCATACGTTGCCATATATATATATATATGAACCACGCTCCAGTGACTGCTTTTTTTTTTTGTACACACATCTCCCATCCAACGCCCTCCCCCTTCCCCCCCTCACCTCGGCCGCCTGCATCGCGGTGGGAGGCGCGGGGTGCGGAGTCACTAACCAACGCGAAGTACATAGACGATGACGAAGCCACGAGGCAAAAACCGAAGCAAACAAACAGAACTGAAACTGTGAAAATAACCACAGGCACGAAAAAGGAAGAGATAACGAAAATAAGAGAAGAAAAGGGAACTGAGGATGAGGGCGAAAGAGGAGGAGGAGGAAGAAACTAACACAACACCAACAGAGAGAAAAAAGAAAAGGAAATAAAAGGAGGCGATGCAGTGAGGGGAACGTATTTAGCGTGGTGGGTGGGCGGCGGGAGTGAGGCCGAGGCGGGTGCCACCGCTACCACCACTACGCACACATACGCGCCCCCTCTCCCCTTTTTTTTTGTTTGTGTGTTTGTGTGTGCGGGAAGAAGGGCAAGAGGGAAGTTTTTTTTGAATTTTCTTATGTTTCTGCTTCTCCCCGCTTCCTCTTTCTCTCTCTCTCTTTCGTAGCGTCTCGTTTCCTTGCACTCTGTTGTGTCTGTGTGTGCGTTTTATTTTTCGCTGGTCGCAACTTTTGACTGTTGTTGCGGTTGCGGATTGGCGGTGGGTTTGTTTTGTTAAACCATTTGATCGCATGGACGTCCCTTCCTTTTTTTTTTTCTCCTCCCCCCCTCAACACATACACACAGCGAGAGGGGGGAGAGAAGGAGGGAGGGGTGTGTGTGTAAAGAGAGAGAGAGAGAGAGGAGCAAGCGGAGATGAAATGCGGCGAGCAAACAAGACAAAAAGAAAGAAAGAAAGAAAAAGAACGACGTATTTGCAGTGTGTGTGTGTGTGTGTGGGGAATTTATATATATATTTTCTTATGTCTTTTCCCTTTCTTGAAAAAGAAGAGAGGAACCTTTCGTATGTTTTTTTTTTTCCGCTTTCCCCCCCCCCGCCCTTCTTCTCAACCGCCTACACATACACACACAAACATGTACATTTAAGTTCCCAGTCCGCACTGACGCGGCTGCCGGCCACATCTTACATGTAGGCCTGTGTGTGCATGTGTGTTACTGCACACATGCCAGCGGCACACGGAGGCGATGTATATACATGTATATATGAGCCTGCGTGGATGCCTGTGAATGTCCAAGTACAAAAACATTATATATATTTGTTATATACACAATGAGGAAGGTGGGAGGGAGGGAGATAGATAGATAGAGTGGCTGAGGGGAGGAGAGAGGCCTATACATCAGGAGACCCGTCTTACTTTTCTTAATCACTTCTTATGCCATTTTGCTCTTTTAATTGTCTTCGTAGTGTTATGCAGTTGTGCGTTTCTCTCTTTTTTTTTTTCCATCAGGGTCTTTTGTGGCTGATTGTTTTTTTTTTTGCATGCGTTTTGCTTTGATTCTGTGAGTTCACTGGGCTTTGACTTATTGTTGTTGTTGTTGTGTTTTTTTTTTTGGAGGGAATGCGTGGGAGGAGGAATTGACTGCGTGTGTGGTGGTGCTGCCGCCGTTTCACCGCCTCGCCGCTCTGCCCAGCGGAAGGCCCATTCGCGGGTGCGCGCTGCCTCCGGACACGTGCCGGTGACAGCGAGGGGCGCATGTGGCAGGGGGTGAAACCTCGGCGTGTGCCGTATGGGGTGGCCTGCTGTTGCAGGCAGGGGAAGAAATAAGTGCACGCCCACAGCCACACGGACAAACGAACCGAGTGGGCCAAGCGTACACTTCCTTCACATCTACGCAGAGGGTGTTTGGATGTTTTTCATAGCTGCGTGTCTGTGGGGGTGGGGGCATGCTTCTTCGTAGTGGTCTTCTTCGTCTGAAGCTACTGCTGTTGCGGCTGTGCGCCACCACTCCTCGATGAGTCGCCCACCACACACACGCCCTTCACTTTCCCCTCTCTCCTCCTCCCACTTTCTTCTTTCCTTATGCATTTGTGGGGTCGCGTCATCAACTTTACCTTTTTTTTTTACTTTCTCTTACTGTAGCGGTACACACACGCCCGTCCGCTATCTGCCTTTTACCTATCACCAACTCGGAGGTTTTTTTTTTTTGACATCATTTTTTTTTTCCTTTCACGTGTTTTCTGCGCGCAGCTCCGTGCAGTGTTGGGTGTGTGTGTGGAGTGTCTTCCCCCCGAGTGCGGCACGGCGCGGATGAGAAGAGAAATAAAGCGTGAAAGAGAAAAAAAAGGTAACAATAAAAGAGAAGGAAAATAAGGGGGGTGAGTGACGTCAGTCCGTCTGTGCATGTGCGCGCGCCGCGCCACTGCGGTGGCACAAGCGGGGCAGACACGCGGACGTCACTTGCAATGTGGGGGATGGACATGCGCCCTCACTCTTCGTTTCTTTTTTGTTACAATGACTGCTATTGTTTTGCTCTGGGTACGGTGTCGCTGCCACGGACTCGCGTTCTCCCTCGGCGGCCGCCGGGCGTAGGCGGCTGATGCGCCACAACCCGCCTCACTCCTCGTTCCCGCTGGAGGTGCGTCGTGTGTGCATGCATTTTTTTTTTTGTTCTTCTCGCCCCATTTTTCTTCTCTCTCGCGTTGTGTGGGTGGTGGGGCCTCTCTGCCGCCACCCCCAGCAGCATTCATTCTCTTTCAGCCGCCATCCCGCCAGCACGGCGACGGTGGGAAGGGGGAAAACAAAGAAAAACAGTTTTGGGGGTTGCACGAGGCGGTGCGTGTGCGTTTGTGTGCGTGCCTCGCCTTTTTACACGCTCTCTGCGTGCGTTGTGCCATCCTTGCGCCACCTGCCGCCTACCAGCTGCGTGTGGGCGGGTGGAGCAGAACCGCGCCGTGGCGTCACGTGGAGGAGCAGCCGCCGCGAAGCGCAAAGTGCGACAGAGCGGCACTGCCACGGGGAGTGGGGTGAATTTTGCCGTCTTTGCCTCTCTGCCTCGGTAGGTCGCGGCGACACTGCGAAGCGCGACAGGAGGGAAAAAAAAAACGAAAACAGAAAGGGCTGCGGCAGCGCGTAGAGGCAACTGCCCCGTAGAGGCGAGCCGCACAAACACATGGACACGGCGGACCCGACGAGTGGTGTGAAGGGGCGCAACTCCAACGGTGGCTCCCCGGCGGCGACGGCAGCAATGGCAGCAGCCGCGGAAAGGAACAGTGAGGTGCTGCGGCGTGTGTTCACACCAAAGTGTCCCAAGTGTGGTGTGACGTTCCCCGCCCCGCGAAGGAATCTGCCGCCCAAGCGCTGGGACTGCCCCACGAAGGGCTGCGGCGGGAAACTGTGGCAGCCGGACGATGCATCGCAGGTCTGCGATGTGTGTGGGGCCTCAGTGGCGCGCTTCACCCGGCACCACTGCCGTCGTTGCGGCTACCTCACGTGCTCAAAGTGCCTGACGTTCATGACGATCTTCGTGGGGTGGTCGCTGACGGAGAAGCAGCGCGTCTGCCACCGCTGTGCAGTGCCGGTGGTGCCGGTGGCCATGTCGGGGTGGCTGCTGAAGCTGGGTCAGCACTCCACCTTCTTTGGGGAGAAACTGCACACGCGGTACTTCGAGCTGCGCGGGACTGTGCTGCTTTACGGAAGGGCGAGGCACAGCAGCGATGAGGCGGCAGCACCAGCGGGGTTGACGCCCACGTCCCTCGTCAACGGCGCCCGGCAGGGGCAACACAGAGAGAGCGGCAGTAGCATCAGCAGTGTCGCTACCCGCGGCGACGAGGACAGCAACGATAATGTCAACAACAACAACGGCCGTGCTCAGCCATCCTCGACGGCTCTCACGAGACAGATTGACATTGCCGGGGCGAAGGTGATGGACGTGGCAATTCACCCAAATGCTTTCTGCGTCGTTGGTCCACGTATACCGCGCGGCTACGTGCTTTCTGCGCCTAGCCAGGCAGCGAAGGTGCAGTGGGTGGGGGCAATCAGGGAGCAGGTGCGGCAGATGCATCAGCAGCGCGGGGACGAGGAGTTTGAGGATGACTTGGACTCGACGGAGCAGGTGCTGTACGCCGGAACTGGCGCAGAAAAAAATGTGAATGTCTCCATGCGGGACTTTGAGCTGCTGACGGTGATTGGGCTGGGCAGCTTCGGGCGTGTGATGCGGGTTCGGCACAAGGCGACGGGCAATATTTACGCCATGAAGATTCTTGACAAGCAGCAAGTGGTGCAGCACAATCTGGTGCCCCAGACGAATGCCGAGAAGCTGATCCTCAGCGAGATTTCGCACCCGTTTGTGGTAAAGCTTTACTACGCCTTCCAGACGAAGCGACACCTCATCCTCGTGCTGGAGTTTCTCTGCGGCGGGGAGCTGTTCTTCCACCTGCAGCGCAACAAACGATTTGGGGAGGAGCGGGCACGGTTCTACACGGCGGAGATCGGCATGGCGGTGGAATACATCCACAGCAAGAGCGTCCTCTATCGCGACCTGAAGCCGGAGAATCTTGTGCTGGACCGTGAGGGGCACGTGGTGCTAACGGACTTTGGTCTCGCGAAGCGCGAGGTCGCCGACGACACGCACACGCACACCTTCTGCGGCACCCCCGAGTACATGGCGCCCGAACTTGTGCGGAAGTCCGGCCACACCACCGCCGTGGACTGGTGGAGCCTTGGCTCCTTCCTGTACGAGATGGTGGACGGTCTGCCACCCTTTTACTCCACGAACGTGTCGGAGATGTACGAGATGATCCTGCACAAGCCACTTGTGTGCCCCGCCAAGTTCTCGCCGGAACTCAAGTCGCTGTTGGGCCGCCTGCTGGAGAAGGACCCTCTCAAGCGCATGACAACCGGCGCGGAATTTCGCGCCCACCCTTTTTTTAAGGGGCTTGACTTTGATAAACTCTTGCGGCGCGAGATACGGCCGGAGTTTGTGCCGGACGTCAGACGCAACGACCTCCGCTACTTCGACAAGCGTTTCCTGCAGGAGAGCACAAAGATCGCTCAGTTGGATCAGCCATGCGATCCGAGCGACCCGGCGACCCGCGCCTTTGAGGGGTACGACTTCAATGTCCAAACGCCCGCGACGGCGGCTGCGGCTCAGCCGCCCGCGGTGGAGGAGGGACAGGAGGAGGATGACGCTCACGGCGACGCTGGAGGAAGCGATGGGGATGCGGGCGCCACACACACGTCATGAGGTGTGGGGCCGGTGTGGCGGAGCAGGAGAGTTGTGTAAGTACATCTGTTGCATTGCAGCGCATGCAGGCATTGGGGGTGGGGGGTGGTGAAGCGGGGGCACCGGGTTTTTTCCACAACACACCCGCAGGCAGAAGGCGGTCACTGGCTTTTTGTAGCAACTCCAAAATAAGAACGAAACAGTGACTAGGAGAAATCAACAATACCAACCAACATAAATTGCGATGGAGCGTCATTTGTTGACGGCTCATTACTTGAAAGGAAGTTTTTTATATTATTTTTCTTCTCCTTCTTGATGCACACCCCGAAACCCTTCAATGCTGTGTGTGTGTGTGTGTGTGTGCGTGTGTGCCGTATTGAAGCGTAGACAGAACGGACCCGCCCATGCGCTCTCAGGGCATGACGTCTCGTCACCACTGGTGGCACGAGTTTGTGTGTGTGTGTTTTTTTTTGTTTTGTCTTCTCACTCTCTGCCGCCCGCCTTCTCTTTGGTGCTGTCTGCGGAACCTGCATAGGAAGCCACCATCTGTTGACGTTGGCGTGAGGCGGTTGAAGGCGGGTCCTCTCAAACGCACTCGGTCCTTTTTTCCAGCCTACCCATCCGCACACACACACACATACAATAGCACAGACACACACACACACAATAGCACACATACTTTATTTCCTTCCGCTAGGTGCCCTGCAGGAGGAGCGGCGGGGCGTGGGGGACGAATTTCACGTGTTTTTATTTAGTTTTATTGTTTACTTTACGTTGTTTGTTTGCTTTTCTGCTGTTCGTCCCTCTTTATTTGCATTTTCTGCGAGCATCCCCCCATTAAACGAGATCGGGGAATCGAGGGAAATACAGGGGGAAAAAAAAGGCGTGGGAGAGAGGCGACGGCGAAGAAGAAGTGCGTTTGCCAGTGGCTGGCAGCGTAGACACATCACGGCTTGAGTCCGCCTGGCAGCTCTGCAAGGCTGCTCAAACTTCAGCGGGCTGCGTGGTGGGCTCCAGGCGCAGAGGCACACGCATACACAGGCACCAATAGCACCTCACCGCACACCCCACTGGGTTGCGACAGGTGCAGCTGCATATGTCGGCTCAGAGTATTGACTCTTGCAAAGGCGGCGCCGCTGAATGCGACACGGCTTTATCCCCCGTGAGCCCGTCACATCCCCCCAGTCAACTCTGCGCGCAACACAGGAGGGGCTCGTCCTTGCGGGGGACGATGGGGATTGCAGTTCCGAATGAAACCCCCAGCGTGCTCGCCGGCTTCTCGGCTTCCGGGCCATCGTCACACATGGACTCACGGTTTTTGTTGCCGGAGGTTCTGTCCCCGGGGTCGTCGTTGCTCAAGAGTGCGATGTTGCTGAACTCCTTTGAGGAGGGCTCCCTGCGACGGACGCCGCTGACGCCATTCTCGAATCCGTCGTGCCCGATATCCCCACGGTCACCGTCAGCGTCACCAGCGACGGAGCCGCAGCCCCAAAAACTGATGGCGTCCTCCTTCAAGGAGCGGCAGCGCATGACGGAACTAAATCGTCAATACTTGCAGAAGCAAAAATTTGCGGGTTTGGCTTTGGAGAACCACATGACAAAGCCGGCGCCTCCTGGGGTGCGTATGCGTGTCCCGATAGGAACCATGAGCTTTGCTTCGGCCGGCATCAGGGAAGGAAAGGACAGTAGTCCACAGCTCCCTGGGAGCGGTCAAGTGTCCCAGCAGAAGGGGGACGGGGGAGACGATAAGGCGGGCACCACCGACGCTGGATCTTTTACGCCGGTGTTGTCGCAAGTTGCGCCTCTGCTCGCCCCAATGCCCTGCACACAGGAGCAAAGTGGGGGATTCAACAGCAGTGGGGATGCGTCTTTGGCGCATTTTATGCGGACGCCAATGGTGCCGGCATTATTCAAAGGTTCTCGACTCTGGAGCATGACGCAGTCCTCACCTCACTGTGGGAGCTTCCTGTCGACGCTACGGCCGTTTGAGGGTAAAGTTGCCGCCTGCAACTCACTGGGGCAGTTGGACAACTTTTCCAAAGCGAAGTCGTTACCAAAATTAGACAGTGTCAGGGTGGAGCGGGAGCCGCGGCGTGTCTCTGGTGAAGAAACAGAAACGAGCTCCACAACAACTCCTGTTAATAACGCCAAGGATATGTCCACCCCATTTGGATTTGAGGAACCCCCGCGTGGGGGAAAACTGTCGGTCTTCGCGGGTTCGAGCCCTCTCACTACCGCGATCGATAAGGCGCCGCACACTCCCACAAGGTCCCCCAGCAGCATGAGCTCCCTTGACCGCACATTCCCCCCCCATCATTTCAAAATGGGGCAGCTCCAGCGTAAATACAGTAGCACGTCCAACTCACGGGGCAATTCTTGCGTTGCACTGCGCTCTATTACCCCGCCGAGGGCAACACTGAGTCTTGTGGGCAAACCAGGCTTTTCCCCAAGGGGTGGTAATTGCGCAAGAGTGAACGATGAGGCTCCGAGCGACCCCTCACAGTCCGCCACTGTGCTGACTCCAGCGAATAGGCAGGGCGACCAGGCTGAGTCGCCATTCCGGGTCAAAGACACTGCAACGGGCCTCACGCTGATGCAAGGGGTGCAGGGTAATGTGATCTCCGCGCCAACGCCAGTGATCGACGGCACGTACAGGCCACACCATGAGTATTTGTCCGAGCTGGAAAAGATGGATGGGACGCCATCAGTCAATTCTATGTCGCACTGCAACGCACACTTGGCGGGTACGGTGGGGACCTCGAGTGGGCTGGAGCGTCGGGACCATGAGAAGATGCAGAAGCGTCCGGCAGCGTTTTTCACGTCCTCGTCCCCACCGTTGTCGAATGATGCTTGTCGGAACTTCAACAAAGCGGTTACAGACGGTTTCCTGTCGACTGCTCAGGCAGCGTATGAAGGCTCTAGCTCATCAGCATCTGCATCATACACAGGGCCGCTCGAGGTGTCCGCCGGACGCCCACCGTCACTGCACACATTCTCTACCCTTGCCGCAACGCGAGAGAATAAGCGCAAGAGCTCCTTTTCCAGCCTTTATTTTTCAATGACGAAGCGGCACCAAATGCAGCGACTCACGCATACCGGCAACCACCAGGCCCAGGCGCGGTTAGAGGAGGAAACAACCCGTGAGGTAAGAGGCGGGGACAGTGGGATCTGTGAGGGCCTGAACGCGGATGACGACGACGACGACTCTTCAAAAGGGTTTTGTAGAGTTGGGATTTTAGAGACAGAGGAGCATGTATTTATTCCACGGTATGAGTTACTACCGGGGGGCCAGACTCCGATGGAAATCATGTTGACTAGTATTCGAACAACGGGGGCGGGTGGCCACAGCAACTGCATTAGTGGTCATGACAAGGAGGAGCGGTGGGGTGGCTCAGATAGGTGTTTCAATAAACTAGACAAATGCAGCGAGCAGCAGGAGAGTAGCGAGGATGTCTTTACCTTTGGTAGCATCTCACCCGAGTACACGACAAACCCCACGGAGGAGGATACATTTGTGGACTGCAAGGTGGCTGCCCGACTCTCTTTTGACTCCGAGCAAGGTGTCATGCTTATATCTACAAAGGAGGAGGTGGGGAAGTATATTGGACAAACGTTTAGCATAGGCGCTAGCGATGAGGCGGACGAGGAAGAGCAGTCAAGGTGCACGTGTAGTATGCAGTTCATCACAAAGGATCTCCGTGGCGTGGACTATAGCAACTACCACGCCCACACACTGTACCACCACTGCGTTTACTGCAAACGACGCCCCGCGTCGTTTCTCTGTTTACACTGCTTACGCTCCACCTGTCCCTCACACGTGACACAGCACTACAGAGAGTGTGAGGCGGAATGCACACTATTCCTTAATTTACTCGATATCATGACGAGTTTTGACCGCATTTTCTGGTGTGAGAAGTGCCGCTGCTTCACATGGAAGTACACCGAGGCGTATGATCCGCTGGTGGACCAGTTGGCCATCACGCGCGGAACGTATCTGCAGGAGGCAGTCCGCGATATCTCGTGCGTCGGCTACTATGTTCGGCTGAGGCGGCCGCAACACTGGAAACTGCACTCGAGTCATCATATGTCCCTGCCGCGGGATCCGTTGTGTTGCAGCTTAGGCCCTAGTCCCAAATTACTGGCGACTGGGTCGCTGTCGACAGCTGTGTCTCCCATGCACCTGCCGTTGGACGTCGTGCACGAGCGGTCGATCAATGCGGCGTCGCTTGCCGGGGGCTTCGACCAGGCCAGCCTGCTCTTTACTGGAGCTGGCAGCGCTGGTTGTGGATCGCCCGTGGCACGCCGGATGCTACGCGATGGTGGCGATCCGCTGTCTCAGAACGAGGTTCTGCGAGTGGGGGGGGCGATGCCAAAGCTGGTCGCACTTGGCGCGAAGGTGCAGGGTTGGCGCGCCACCCAAGAAGACGCGGAAACCGCATTTGTTATAGATATCCCTGCACTCTCCCACAAGTCATCGTTGGAGCCCTCTACTACTACTGCGGCTGCGGCGCCAGCAGTAGACGGAGACGAGGAGGCGGAGGGTGAGACACCTGATACCATCGCAATGGCGATATTTTGTGTGTTTGACGGCCATGGTGGGGACGCCGTGGCGAAGCTTGCCGCCAGCAAGTTTGAGTCGCACCTGCGCGAGGCGGTGGCATCCGCGCGGTGTGACGATGTGCAGGCGCGTTCACTGCTCTTTCAGCTGGACTTTGAGTCCTCGTCACCACCGTTTTCCACAGTGGAGGGATCGCCGGTCGCCGCGCGGGGGAACACCTTTGGCTGCCAGGTGGGTAACCCGGACGAGGATAGGAACACCGGTGCCAGCAAGGACGACGATGGGCGGGATGTCGTTCTCGGGAGCGAGGCACTGCGACGGCATCTCGAGACAACCACCGCGGGCCGATTGCCATTGCCGTTTGCGCCGTTGCCGCAGTTCGCCGCAGCCGAAGCTGTGGAGCTGCCTGATGGTCAGGCGCCCATGCACCCCATATTGGATGTGGGTTGTATGGGGGAGAGCGCCGCGGAGGCGTTTTTGTCCAACTCCGGTGGATGGTGTTGCGGCACCGCCTCCCCAGTTGTCTCGCGGCAGGAGATGGAGGTACTGCGGGTGTATTTTGCCAGCATCATGGAGGACGCCCTTCTCTCGCTGGACGATGATCTGCGGCATAGCCCAGAGGGAGTGCGCGGGGACTACCAAACCACTGGATGTACCGCGTGCGTCGTTGGCATCACTGCAAACTTTATTCTCTGCGCCAACGTCGGGGACAGCGGGGCTGCTGTGTACACCGATCACACCATTCGTCGGATCAGCGTCACACACCGCATCACTGACCCGGTGGAGGAGGCGCGCATCACGGCCGCCGGCTACACCATTACGGGCGAGCGCATCGAAGGGCTTTTGGCTGTTACGCGGGCGTTGGGCGACTACGACTTCAAGCAGTGTGGTGGCAAAGGCCCTAAGGAGCAGGCTGTGATTGCGGTCCCGGATGTCACTATCATGCCGGTGCCGTTCTTGGAGGACAATGCGCGGTTGGGTGTCGTGGCCGCCTGCGACGGTGTGTGGGACACCGCGACGCTGCACCAGGTGCACCACGCGATTGTCAACACCCCCAACGACTTGGATGTGGCTGGGTCCGCGATGGATGCCGTCATACAAGCCAGTGAGATTGCAACGGCGCTGCCGCGCAAAGAGTCGGCGGCGCGTGACGGCGAAGATGCCGCAGAGACGGTCCTGCTAGATGCTCAGCTGCTAACCTCCGCCGCCGGTGTCTTTGCACAGTGTGTGGCTCCCTGCGACAACGACGAGGGAATTGGCCTGGACAACTGTAGCCTGTTTTTGATTGAGCGCCGCTGGCTCTGACGGCTGCAGGCGCCAAACCTTGCTGGGGCGGGCACGTGCGATAGAAGCCGTCATCTCTTTCTTCTTCGCTCCTCCCCACCTCATACCCACACACAACGGATTCGCTGGATGGAGACCTTGGCGGCTCGTGTCTGAGTTCCCCCCTCTCTTTGCAGGGTTTTGTATTCCACGCTCCTTTTGCTTCGTGTGCAGGCAATACAACCACTGAAGCCCGTCTTGCGATTGTACATTGCCCGAGACTGCTTGGGCCGCGTATCTTACATCTCACCCCTCGACGGTGAGAGGCCCGATTAACGAAGAATAGAGAGGGAGAGGAGGAGGGGAAAGCAAATGTAAAGAGAATGAATTGAAAAAAAAAGGGGGGGGAAAAGAAGGGAACAATTCACCCATGACCGTTGACGAGGAGCGTAGGGCTCCCTCCGCTTATCTTCTAAATGCTGAGGCACTACCGATTTACGTTTATTACATTTTTCGTGTGTGTGTTTTTTTTTGTTTTAGTGCCATTTTTTTTTATTTTTATTTTTTGTTTCTTCTCTTTTTTTTTTTTTCCTACTGGGAGGCTTCGTATTGCCCCCACCTGAGCATCTGTTTTGGGGAGGGGGGTGGGTGGTGGCGGCTGAAATGCGAGTGGGCGCGGGCGACGAAAATGAAATGTATGGGAACAAGAAGAAGCAGCGGCAGAAAAAGAGAGAAAAGAAAAAAGAAAAGGAGGCGGCTGTCGCTCTCCGGGGGTGTTTCCCCCCTCGTGCACGGGTCGGTGCCAAATTCAACAGAAGACCTTATGCACACGTCTGTCACCGCCACGGTCTCTTTCGTTTTCTTCGCCACAATTATTCAACGCATGCAAGGATAGCTTTTTTTCCCCGTTTTTGTCTCTCTCTCTGTGTGTGTGTGTCCACATCTACATTTTCCCTTTGTCTCTCGTTTTTTTGTTTTGTTTTTTCCCTCTTTCTCTCCTATTTAGCTGCTTGGATCATTCACACCTCCTTTCAGTGTATCTGTGATGCAATCAGTCTCTACGCTTCTGTATCTCTGCATACGTCTCCGCGTGGCTGCTGCAGGACCCTTTCCTCTGAAGATGTGAGGTGAAGCAGTGGCCAACTCCGACTTTCCTCCCTACCGGTTCTCGGATGGGCTTATACATGTCGCTGCTTTCTTCCACCTTTTTTTTTGTTTCTGTTTGACGGCAGGCGGTTTATATGCATTTTGCACTCCTGATGTGTTTTTTTGTTGTGTGCCCGCCGGCATCCGTCACTGCGGGCGCCGGCATCTTCGAGTAGTGACGGATTTGCGGTGTGAAGCAACCGCGTCTTGGACGGTGCCCCAAATAGAGAAGGGTGGTGGTCAAACGCAGGGCCCACACACAAATAACGGTGACGGGAAATGTGAATGAGATGGCATCTCCCGGTGCTTGTACTCGTCACACACTTGGGGCACCTTTCGGCGTGGTGCTTGTTTGTATTTTTCATGGTGCTAAATGGCCAGGCCTCACCCAGAGCGATGGGCTCCGCTTCCGCAGTGTCATGAGGGCGTTTGGTTCAGCTGGGCACGTTGGCTCTTCGTTGCGGAGGTTTGTGTTTGCGCCCCCGCACTTGGGCGAGGTGGCATTTGTT